TGTAGCCTAGACTAGCCTCAAACTTACTATGTAGCCCAAAGCTAGCCTGGAACTTACCATCTACCTGCTCAGCCCCCAGAGAGCTGGGATTACAGGTATGCACCATCACATCTGGCTCTGCAAACATTGATCTTGCTGATTTCTAACCTATTTTTGGCTTTTCTGCTGCTCCTTTGCTTGCCATGGAGGTGGAACTTGCTAAGTAGGGCCAGTGACCCTCTCTTTTCAAAGACAAAGCACATGACTTCCACAGGGTTCTTGGTGGGTTTGCATGCCTCCAGAATAGAAGTGTTCAAGTCCTGTCAGAATCCTTTGTTCTCACAATGCAGTTTAGAGTTAAAGAACTCTTTTGGAGCTCCTGAACTTGTCCCTGAACTAGGTGCAGGAGAAGTAGTCAGAGCACAGAATAGTGAGAAACAATATAAACTCTACCTTGGGGCTGAGGAGTTGGCTCAGCAGTGAAGATCGCTGACTCCTCTTGCAAAGGACCCAGGTTCAGTTTCCAGTATCCACATGGTGACCAACAACCGTCCTTAACTACAGTTCCAGGAGATCTGACACCCTCTTCTGGTCTCCTTGGGCATTTCATGACATGGGTACACTTAGCAATCTGCCTGCCTCTGCCTCCCCAGTGTCAATATTAAAGGTGTGCACCACCAAACTTGGCCTACATTGTCATTTTTTACAAAAGTCTGTGGCTTGCCTCTTTTTTCTAAATTTAAGTTTTAAAACTCAGAAATAATTTTTTTTAATGTGTATGAGTGTTTTGCCTGTATGTATGTAAGTGCATCAATGTTGTGCAATGCTCCCAGAAGGCCAGACGAGGGCACTGGATCCCCTGAAACTGGAGTTAGGGGCAGCTGTTAGTGGCCATGTGGGTGCTTGGAACTGAACCCTGGTCCTCTGCAAGAGCAATCAGTGCTCTTCACCACTGAGCCATCTCTCCAGGCAGGCTTACCTCCTGTCAGTATTTTAGTGAGGGTGTCTTTGCAGAGCATTGTTTGAACTTAGATTTAAATATGGAAATGTCAATTCTTTGTGAGCTCCCGAGTAGGTTTTTTCCAGGTACCAAAGGAAATTCCATTTCCTGTGTACTCTCCAAGTGCCAGGAATCATGCTGAGAATTCACCTCTCACTTAACTGTTGAAATCCAAGTATGTAGATACTATTTTACAAATGAAGGAACTGAAGTTCTGAGCAGTTAAGCAATTTGTGCAGCATCACTCAGCTAAGAGGTAAACGAGATTCAAATCTCTCTCTCTCTCTCTCTCTCTCTCTCTCTCTGTGTGTGTGTGTGCAATGTATAGGATATGCATACATGTATGTGTGTGCCTTTATGTGCTTATCAAGTGTGGAGGTCAGAAAGCAACCTGGGTGTTAGTCTTTCTTGTTTGAGACAGGCTCTCTTTGCTGTTTGCCACTGTGTATGCCGAGGGCCAGCCTCCCATCCCATCATAGGAGCATGGACTTTGCATGTTTTCCAGGGATTCAAACTCAGGTCCTGAAACTTGTGCAGCAAATGCTTTTACCCACTGAGCCATCTCCCCAGCCTGAGATTTAAATCTTCATGTTCTTTGTAATCATTCCAAAATACTGTCTTTCAAGGGCAGAATGGGAAGGAAGTACAAAGCTGGAGTCAGGGGTCTAGAAAACTAAAATGAATGGGGTTTGGTAAGCATGAAGGTCAGTCTCAAAAAGAAATAATGAAAGTTTATGTTTATTTTGCCTGCCATAAAAGTTTGTTTTATCCAGGCACTGGACGGGGAGGGTGGTTTGAAGATACAAGTTCAAGAGTAGGACCGCCTGGGCAACATAGATCCAGTCTTGTCTTTGCTTCATTTTGTTTTTGTTTTTTTTTTGGGGGGTGGGGCGGGCACGGGGTCGCACTATGTAGCCCTAGTTGGCCTGAAACTTTCTTTGTAGACCAGGCTGACCTGGAACCCAGAGAGACCTTCCTCTGCCTTCTGAGTGTACTGGGACTAAAGGCATATGCTACCATACCTGGCCCATAGATCTAGTCTCTAAAAAAATGTTTTATCTTTATCACATTCATAGGTAGAGGAGTACAAAGTAGAAAAAGAATTATATTTGTTTGGCCAGCCTGGGCTACATGAAAGCCTGTCTCAATCCCCCCCCCCATTTTTTTTTTTTAAGATGAATTATACCCACTTAGAAGTTGGATATAGGGCACATGCCTATAGTCTCAGCAGTGGGGAGACTGAGGCAGGAAGTTAGAAAGTTCCAGGATACCCTGGGCAAGACTCCGTCATACAAACAAATAAACAAAATAGTAGTACACCCAGTTTATGGTGCCAATGATAGAACTGAAAAAGGAGCAGATGTAGTACAGGCTACATTTGAGCATTTGAGAGAAACTAACAGACTCAGAGCTACTTAATGAGACTTGCTTCCTGGAACCTGGCCACCTCAGGGACTGCAATCACTGACTTCCCCACCTGCTTCACACTCATTCTAAGGAAGTGTTCTACCACTGAGCTCCCTCCCCTCTCCTCTTCTCTGTTCTCCTTTCCTTCTCCTCCCTCCCTCCTTCTTCCTTCCTTCCTTCCTTCCTTCCTTCCTTCCTTCCTTCCTTCCCTCCTTTCTTCCTTTCTCTTTCTTCACAGGCTCTCCATATATATCCCAGGCTCACTGGCCTCCTGCAGACATGTGCCACTAGGCTCTGCTTCATCCCTACTCATTCTGTTATTCCAGGTCATTGCTCCCCAGGGTTTGGCCTGGAGCTTACTATTGAAAATCTTAACTCTCAAGCGGAAAAATCTCCCTCTTGAATCCTCCTGCTCAGAAAGTTCTTGACACTGAAAGACTCTTCAAGTGACAGTCCAGATAGAAAGGTAAAGAGAATCCAGGCTAGTGTGGAGCTGGGTTTTCCAAGCTGTCTTAAGGTTAAGAGTCCTGGTTCCTATCAGAAGTATCAGCCCTTAGGAATGGCATGAAACTGGGAGTTTTCACAGTCTGCTATTCTCGGTACACACTCAAATCTACTGACAGGGACTCAATCTAGAATCTAGAAAATGATGAACTGGCCTGGGTTCAGTTTTGCTGCATTGGAAGATAAAAAATCAGAAGGAATTCTTGGTTGGTTTTAGCAATCACTTTTGCTAAGGGTGTTAAAATGCTTTTAGATTTACCTTGAACCCTTAACAAGTCCTAACCTTAGCACTCTGGGAAGAGCTGGGCTAATTACTTAACCTCTGTGAGGACATTAGTGTTCTTCTCCTCCAGTAAGGATGGGATAGACCTGTGGATCAGATAAGGTAAGGTAGGTTAAAACATTACTAAATGACAAAGGCCTCAACATAAAAGGATTATAGTTTGTCAAATTAAGTGGAAGATAAAGCATGAAACATGGATTCCATTTTAGCCTTTAATAATCACTTAATATTTATGAGTTTTAAAATTCCTTTCTCCCTGTTTTGCACAGATTTTTCAGATCACACTGGCAATCTAGCACCAACTTCTAACCAAACAGGGTGGCTCCCAAGGTTAGACAGCAGGTCAAGCACCTAAATCCAAATTAGATTTATGCACTGTGACATGAATGTTTGATTGCTGCATTCTGAGTCCCCCTTCTTTTAGTGAACTTTCATGGAATGTAGAGCAAATTTATCTCCATGTCGCTTCTCAGACTTGAAACTTTTAAGAGATGAAAATCAGTTGTATATCCTTTGACAAAGGCTTTATTTTCCGTTTTGTTTGAGACTGTCCACAGTGAATGCAATCCTTAGACTCTTCCCGTCCTTAAACTCTTCCAGGAACAGAGGGGTGGTGGTTAATAACTTAGGGTCTCACTGCTAGTGAGGGGTACTGTTGGAGTCTGCTTCTAACTCTTACCCCACTTTCTCCTTTGCAAAAAAAAAAAAAAAAGCTATACTAAAAATGGAAGCCAATACTATATACCAGGTATGCTTGTAAGCTCTTTGCGTTAATCCGTTTAACTAGGGGGAAAACGGTTTGGGAACATTTCTTTTTTAAGTAGTCCAATGAGAAACAGAATTTTTTTTCAGTTGCATGACACTGCAACCCGAAATCACAACTTCATTTTAGGTTCCTGGTGGTACCCGCTTCCTCTTCTAGTTTGTTTAGTCACAGAATTCAATTCCTGTTGGCCGATTCTGTGCCTGCAAACAGGCTTAGCGCTCCATTGAAATGCTGAGGTTCCTTAACTCTTGTATAAACAGGTAATGGGGGTGTGGGGTGGGGCGGGGGCTGCGGCCCTCGGGTGGGTTTCGTAGCAGTGGGGATTGGGATCGGGGTTGGAGCAAAGTCCCCTGAGATCAACGTTAAGAGAAGGCCTGGCTGCAGTTTCTTCATGCTGTTTTTGTTCCCTTTCTAGAAACCAGCTGTAACACCAGGTCAGAGCGCATTAAAATGAGCCACTTTGAAGGAGCGGCGCCCAGGCCCCAGGCCCCGCTGTGAAGGCCCGGCCGAGGTCAGGGCTCCGGCCGCGTGACGCCGGCCTGCGCTCGCCATGCTCGACCCCAGGTAGGGACCCGGGGGAGGTGGTGGCCTCCTGCAGGCCCGTCGCAGGGCCGGCTGCCGTCCTACCTGCCGCCGCCAAAGGTCGGGGGTGGGTGGCCCTAGTCGGCCCGGGCGTCACCGCAGGGTCCTCGGTGGTCCTCGCAGCCCAGGGTGACCGGAAGCTCTGTTCACAGCTGCCCCAGGTAGAGCAGGTGCCACCTCTGGGGTCCCTTCTGGGTGTCAGAAAGGGATGGAACTTTTGGAGCGAGATAGTTCCAAAATCTCTCCACGGGGGGCGGGGAGGGGGTAAAATTGATTTTTTGAAGCCTTCAGCTAAGGTATCTGCGCTCCTCAAACACCAGGAATGTTGCACTGGCCTTCAGCCAGCCGAGGCTCAGCGAGCAGGATAAAATTTCAGTGCAGATTTACGGGAAGTTGCCGGTGTTGGGAGTAAAAATCTGGTTTGGTGAGTTTAAGGGAAGGGAGTAGACGGAGACAACCTTGCTACTGTGAGGCGGATGGCCTCGGCTGGGGGAGGGCAGGAGGCGGAGGGAGGGAACCGGGAAGAGCCGGGACGGCAGAGCCACCGCCAGCTGCAGGACGTCGCCGCGCTCCCGGGACCCGACCCTGCAGCCCCGCCGGGTCCGCGCTGCCCCACCCGGGACGCCCCGAGGCCAGGCTCCAGCAAGCTCGCCGCCTCCGTGCAGGTCGCCCCGCAGGTCTCCCAGGTTAAGGAACTGTGACCATCTGCAGTTCCCGGAGCCTGGGAGAGGTCAAGTCTAGAACGGTCGTGGTTCTGAGCTGCACGGAGGGAAGGAGCCCCGACCCTCCTTATTTTGCTTTGCTGTAGAAAAGATGTTGTAGGTGACTTCCCAGCTCGATGGCTGCTGGGCTGTGAGCTGGGTTCGTTTCCGAAGGGGGCGACGCCAAGTGCTTTCCAAGGTAAGGTGGGTTTGGGCAACCCTAACTACTGTGCCTGAAGCTACCGTACTGTCTCAGTTCTCGAAACAAAGTTTTCTCTTTTTCTGCGCTCTTTAGTTCTTATCTCTCATTCGACCGCCTTCCTTCCGACTCTGGTAAATTTAGTGGGAAGTTAAAGGGTTTCTAAAAAGATTTTTAAAGCGTCAGCTTTTGGAAAAGCAGATAATCATACAGTCAGCCGCATCACGTTTCCTGTAGATGAGTCTTTTTCCATAGAAGAAACTAATTTTTTTTTTCCACCCTTAGTAAAACGTGATTGGGCTGCTCTGAGGCACAGGTGACCAGAGCCATTATTTGCCGAGATAGTTCGGATTTGGTGGTGATTTGGGGCATCTCATTTAAGTGTTAACCAAAGCAGAGGGGGGTCTTCCTGCCGTGATTTACCTCTGAAGGCAACACCCAGAGAGGATTAGCTGTTGAATCTGGAGAAAAGGGCAGGGCCTACCAATTATGACAGCTGACAAGTTTGTAGTCACCGGGTATTTAGAAATCAGCTAAAATGAATGGAAATGGAAGTTTTTTTGTTTTTTTTTAATGACCTCTTTTAATTAGGTAAAAGTTGAATCACTTTTTTTGTTTGTTTATTTTTGAGATAGGGTCTCTCTGTAGTCCCAACTGGCCTGGAACTCACTATGTGGACCTGACTGGCCTTGAACTTGCAGAAATCCCACTGCCTCTGGGTCCCAGGTGTTGGGATTAAAGCCCTGTACCACCACTCCTGGCCTTGAAAGACTCCTGAGTACTGTCCTTAAGCACTTGGAGATGTGGCTTCTTTCTTAAGGTTTATCAAAGTGATAAAAAGATTCTGTCTTCAAGATACTTATAGGCCTTTAACTGATTAATTTTTGTTTTTTTCCATTACTGATTTAAAGTAAAAGTCAAAATACTCCCCTGCCCCTAGTATTCTAGTGACTCACTTGATCTCACTTGATTTTTGTTAGAAGGAATACAGTTTTAAAATGTATTCTCGGGACTGGCAAGACAGCTCAGCTGATAGGGGCACTTGCTGCCAAGCCTGAGGATCTGAGTTCAGTCCTGGCAACACACATGGTATAGGAAAGAACCAACTCCCTCCCAAGTTGTCTTCTGACTTCCACTCATGAGCAGTGGCACCCATGTACCTACAGACATGCACACACAAAATAAGTAAATAAAGACATGAAACTAAATAAATAAAATAAAAATGTATTCTTAGGCTAGGGATGGTACTTCATAGCTACAACTGCAGCACTGGGGAGGCCGAGATAGGGGGATGGAGAGTTCGGGGACAGCCCGAGTTACAGAGCAAGACCCTATCTCAAAAGAAGTACTCTTAAAAGTCTTGGTGGAGGCTGGTCGTGGTGGCATACCTTTAGTCCCAGTACTTGGGAGGCAGAGGCAGGCGGATCTCTGTGAGTTCAAGGCCAGCCTGGTCCACATAGTGAGTTCCAGGCCAGCTGGTGCTATCAGGAGACCCTGTCTCAAAAAGCCCCCCCCCCAAAAAAAAGAAAAAAAGTCTTGGTGGAAAGTGGGGCATGGTGAATAATTTCTGTAATCCTAGCGTGGGGGAGGCCGAAGCAGAAGGATCTGCTATAGGTTCGAGGCCAGCCTGACTACATAGGGAGTTCCAGGCCAATCAAGGCTACATAATGATTCCTTAATGTGGAATCACACCAAGGAAAGCAAAGGGTTGGCCATATGACTTAAAGGGACTGCCAAAGTTTTGAGCACCAAAGCATGGCCATAAGATCACAAGTGTTTTGAGAATTGCAGGTACCAATTCTAAAAGGTAAAGGTTGTCAGCTGCATAGAACACAACCCCTAGATGGGCCAAAGTTCCCAGCCAAGAGAAGGTAGCACTTTTGTAGGATTCAAGTTGCTATTCAATTAAGAAGTTGTCTGTCAGAACCATGTGTGATAACTTCAGAGGAAACAAATAGACAGCACAGCCCTTTAAGAGGGAAACTGGAGGAAGACAGGAATGATAATTAGGGTTTTAAAATTTTTATGTCCACCTTGACTTTCCCCTGTTCTGATGTATACACTGTAGGCCTCTGATTTCACAGGGTATTACATCCTGGGAGAATCACACATACTGGCTTCATTATTAACTTTGAGTATCGGTCAAATGAAGACAAGATAAGGTGGTAATAGCTAAGTCACCAGTGTAGCTCTGTCTGACTAGGTAGGTTGCTAATTTCATCTAGTATGTTTTTAGTGCTAGGACTGTGCTCAGTGATAGAAATCTTGCCTATCCTTGTGAGCTCCTGGATTCAATCTGCAGCACCACAAAGGAGCTTGCTTTAAATCTGCCTCCATACTGAGGGCTGAATTCAGGGTTTTTAACATTCCAGGCAAGTGTTTTACCACTGAGCCATACTCCCAGCTCTTTTAATTTCATTGTTTATTTAGTATTTATTTTGAGACAGTGTCCTTTTACATTGTTCAGACTGGCCCTAAACATGTGAACCGCCTGCTTCAGTCTTCTGAGTAGGTGAGATCATAAGTGTGTACTGTTGTGCCAGCAGAGATGTGTGTGTGGGTATGTGTTTTTACATGAATTCTGAAATCAAATCCTGAAGATTTATTTTTCTGTTCATTATTGCCTTTTTAGAACTGTATAGGATTGAGAATTTAGCATAATTTTATGCTAATATCTTTAGTTTTTTGTTTAAGATTTATTACTTTTATTTATGTGTGTTTGTGTGTCTGCCCTGTGTGTATGTGTCCTCAGAGGCCAGAAGAGGTGGCTATGAACTGCCTGATATGGGTGTGGGGACCTGAACTCAGATCCTCTGGAATAGCAGCAAGTACTCTTAACCACTGAGCCATCTCTCCAGCCTATATAGTTTTAAAAATATTATTATTATTATTTGCGTGTGTGTAAGGTCAGAGGACGACTTTGTGGAGTAGATTATCTCCTTCTACCTTTTCAGGTGGATTCAACTTGGGTTGCCAGACTTGCACAGTAAATGCCTTTACCCACTTAGCCATCTCGCTAGCCCTCTCTAGTGCTAATAGTCAACACATTTATGTTTTGAGATAGGGTCTCACTATCTAGCCCATGCTGGCCTGCAACTTATGACTGTCTTGCCTCAAGTGCTAGAATTATACCCATGAACAACCATGCCTGGCTATTTAGTTTTTAAAACTGTACTATTTATTAATTCATTTGTTTAGAAGACAGAGTTCCACTTTTTTGCTAAATCTACTGATAATACTGAAGATGAAATAATTAAGAAAGCTTACTTGAAAATGTTCTTTATAATCCCAGCACTTAAGACTGTGAGTGCCAGTCTGGGCTCCACGGTGAGACTGCCACAAATTAGAAAAAAAGAAAGACTATTCTCATTTTCCTCATGTGATAAGAACATGCCTTTTAAACCCTTCCATTACTAGTGCAACCTGTTTTAAGCAATGATTTTCGAAAAGGTTAATGTAGATCAAATTGTTCTTCCATAATGATTGAGTTTTCTTCTAAATTCCATTCCTCCCTCCCCTGCAGGTCTGGGAATCTAACCCAGGACCTTATTACAGAGAGTAGGCAAGTCACTCTACCATTGAACCACCCCTCCCTCCAGCCCTAAAATTGTACTTTTCCCCCCTTTTTCTTTGAGATAAGTTCTTACTGTGTGCCTAGGCTGCCCTCAGTTTTTCCCAGTCTTCCTACCTCAGCTAAAACCACACCCATCTCCCCAAATTCTACTCTTTGTTTTTTTGTTGGTTTGTTCTTTTTGTCTTTTTGTTTTTTGATTTTTTTGCTTTTTTGTTTTCTCCCTGTAGCCCCAGCTGGCCTGGAACTCACTATGTAGACCAGGCTGTCCTTGAACTCACAGAGATTTGATGCCTGCCTCTGCCTCCTGAGCGCTGGGACTAAAGGTGTGTACCACCATGCCCAGCCTCCAAATTCTACTTAAAATTTTTTTTTTTTAATTCACTGTATTTTATGTGTATGAGTGTACTGCCTGCATGTGTGTATGTAAGTGCACCCCTGTTGTACAGTGGCTGCAGAGGTCAGAAGAGGGCATCAGATACCCTAGAACTGGGGTTACTGATAGTTGTTAGCCACCATGTAGGTGCTGGAACTGAACCCAGGTCTCTGCAAGAGCAGCCAGCACTCAACTGCTGAGCCATCTCTGCAGCCCCCCAAATTCTGCTCATAAAGTTCAAGATTCAAAGTGAATCATGTCCCAGATGATTAAACTTTGAATAGTACAGGAAAACATTTGCCTGTTTCAGACAGCTCAACTCAAGTCCTCTCCTACCTCTTCTGGACTGTCCAAGAGTAGACTTTTGGTGCTGGTGAGGGAACGGGAGCTCACCCTAAAATTGGATCTGGGTGCAGTATCCATGCTAGGATATATAATCTTGAAAAAAGATACTTTCATTGTGAGTATAGAGTTTGCATGCATAACTTTTTCAGAGCTATAATGAACAGATTAAATGTAGCTTGAAGCACTTGTCAATGATTCCAAGTTCAAGATTATATTGGGATCTTTTAACTCTTGACTTGATTAAGAGAGAGATTCTTCCTCTTGGGAACAGTCTCTATGTCTTATGACAATATTGATTCCTTGATTTCATATCAGAAGAGATGCCAGGCTTGGTGGGCTCACGCCTTTAATCTCGCCACTGGGGAGAAAGAGGCAGGTGGATCTTTGTGAGATTGGGGCCAGCCAGGTCTACATAGGGCATTCCAGACCAACTGGGGAGGCTACAGGGAGACCCTCATCTCAAAAAAACCCCCCACCCCAAAACAACAACAAATAAATATAGGGGTGTTTGTTAGTTAAAACAACCATTTGCTGAGAATACCTGCTTCAGAGCAATGTACACAGGACTTGGGTTCCAAGATAGAAGACCTGGGGGTAGGGGTAGGGGGTACTCCTTAGAATCCATCTCAAGTTGCTGAGAGAGTCGGGAGGAAAATGCACACCTTCTGTGTGTAGCCCTGAGTTCACTGAATTCAGACCCTTTCAGGG